CAGCTGAAAATGCCTCTGGGAACATTCAGGTGGAGATGCCCTTCTGGCAAGCACCTCACCTAAGAGTGAGAGGCTCCAGGAAGATGTCATTAGGACGGACACAGCGTCTGGGGCCATCTGTGGAAGTGGAGGCTGAAGTTCAAGGGATGTTTTAAGGCTGCACATGGGGACCAAGTGAGAAGGGCCATGGACCAAGCCAAAGACAAACCCAGGGGATCCCAAGCATCTACCCAGTGGGCGAGGTAAGATGGGCCCATCCAGCAGACAGTCTTCAGAAATGAACGGAACTCAAAGCTTGTAATGGATTGCAGTGTAACATGTGGTCATCTTTTCCCCTTCTCTTTTATTGATATTTTAAGTTTGGAGGAGAGAAATAGACCAATTTAAAAGTGGGCTCTTTCTTATGAGACTTTGTAGATGTCTAGCTAGCTGGTTTTTTAAGTGGTATTCAAAATATTTGCTTGCATCTGGAAAAGAAATGGTATTATAAATACCCCCACATATGGCCCTTCCTGCCTCTTTCCTGCACCAAAGATGTAAAAAGTGGAATGGGTCTCTTCTTTAATCCATTTCAAGAGTCAATTGGGTGGTGATGGACAACATCTCACTGGCATGGACTCCCAGGGATAATTTCCCATCAGGTTGCACGGGCCCCGTGTTCAGGGGTAGAGGCTCCAGGCAGCCCCCGCACTTAACTCTTCACAGCAAGGCAAAGCTCTCGACATTTGCATTTTCTACGGTTTTCTCTTTGGTGTGGGTAAAAGTCAACCAGACATGGTTAACACTTCGACCTCAAGGATGAACCATCCTCCACGTTATCCATTCCTAAGAAGGGCAGTGGTGAGTTTATTTCTGTATGCTTCTGAATGTGTTTAAGACCCATTTTTAAAGGTTTGTTCCAGTTTGGCACAGGGATTCCATCAAAGATAAGAGTCTGGCTGGCTCTTTGGAGATAGGTTATTCTGCAGACATGAATCAAGTTGTAGCTGAAGGACCTTGATAGTGGTGTGGACCTTGGGATTCCCTGAAGTGGTCACTGGGACTGGATGGGGGCCTGGGAATGGAAGAATGGCCATGGAGCTTCCGGGGCATAGAAAACTTAAAGACATTTGAAGCTTGACCCAGGACCAGGCTGACTGATCATCCTTTATGGCTAGAGTGACATCAGCTAGCTCAGTGAAGACATAAGCTATCTCTTGCTGCTCATGGTGCTGGTGGGGACAGTGTTGTGTGGCTGACACTTAAGGATGACAAAGTGAATGTGATTTAACAAAGGTTAGGTAGTCTTGAAAGCATTGACTGCTCTCATGTGGCACTAGTCTTCATATTTCCTGCGCACTTGGCTTTTCGAGTCTATCTTCCATCATGATTTCTTGAAAATGTTCATCTGGTCAGAATGCCTTCCATGACTTGGCCCCTATATTCCTCAAGGCTTTTAGGTTTCCCCTTCTTGTATGTGACTCTTGGGTCTTAAAATGGAGATACATAGCGCTATGTGACTAGAACAGTGCTATTTATACCCCCAGCGTCTGCACATACTCCTCTTCCTTCTGCCTTTATCCATTTGGAAAATAAGAACACACCTCAATTACCTTCTCTGGGGAGTTGTCTCTGATTCATTTCTGTAGAGTTAGTCATACTTTGTTTTCTGATGCCACCTTATAGGGTGGAAATCTTGAATACACAACTTCTCATAGTGTGTTAATATACCTTGTTCACACAAATTTCTCGCTCTCTGGGCTAGAAGCTGTTTATAGCCCCAGTCCCAGCATAGGACCTGACACAAAGTACTTTCTTAATAAAGAGTGTAAGATGAATGAACAAAACATTAGAGATCTTGGGGGAAGAAAAGTTGGCCACCACTGAATCCATAGCGTTCCACGGAGAAAAGAGCACCTTCCTGTGTTGAATTTGTCTCTCTAAATAAGCACAATAAGAAGCAATGTTTATGACTGGTCTGAAACTTGTAATTAAAGCACAAATTATTATCAAGAAATAAAGGTTCAGAAGTATAGTGTTTTGGTATATTCATCCATTTCATTTCTGAAACAGTTGGATGGAAGATTAGTATTTTGTTATATGATAATCAATGAAAAAGTCATGAAATTATTTAAAGACAAAAGATTGTGGAATAGGAAACAGACATATGGAGGCTTAATATCAATATTATAATGAGTTCTGCCATTGATTTAAGAAAATCAAGATCCAAATAGATAATGGACAAAAGATATAAACAAGTATAGACATTTGGTAAAAACTTAGATACTATATTAAGAATCATATAAAATGTTTATACCGTTTGACCTAGTAACTGCCTACTTGGGGCTTTATTCCAAAAAAATTTTTTTTCACAAGGATAATGCTAGACATGAAGTTGTTCATTGTAACATGAGTTATAATGTCAGAAATTAGAAATAATTCAACTATTCATATTGAAAGGATGGTTATGTAAATTCTGTCAAATCCGTTTGAATATAACATGCAATAAATAAAAGTATTGTCATCATTTAGTCATTCAAAAGTGCTTTTAGTCAGTGGTAGTAACAAATTACAAAGTCATTTTATCTTTATATTACGTGTGCATGAGGGGAGGGTCCAAGAGGGAAAGAGAGACAGGAGGTTTTGCAGGTGTTTCTGTGTTTGAAATTATGTCTTGCAATGAATAGAAGACAGTTTCTGCTCTATTTCTGTTACAACAATAAAGGAGGAAAGATGGAGCAGTGGAAAGAGCACTGGACTTAGAGTCCAAATCCCAGCTCCCTCCCTTCCCCTCTTTCTAATCTTGAGCATGTTCCTCAGTCTCTTCTCTAAAAAGGAAATATAGTAACTAGCTCTGAGGGCCTTTCTGAGATGGTGAAACTGATGCATAAGCCCTCCATCAATGTGCACTCAGTTGAATAAAGATGTCTGTGCAATGACCTTTTCTTCCAGTGCAGTGGAGATGGAAGTCCTAGTTACACTGGAATCCACTTTGACCTTAGGTGTTAGGTATGATATAGTCACTATAATGTGTAGGTAAATAGGGAACCTTAGAAAACAAAGCATGCTGCTCTCAGGTCCCCTGTGTGGATTTGCATTGTCTGTTTTTATTGGCCAGAATGCGTGGTAGGAAAGTAAGAAGCAGGTGGACTGCCAAGCCGGAAGGGATGTGGTCCCGATTCAGGCAAAGCTGGGAAGAGAGGTCGTGCATATTGCTCTAACATCGGCAGTAACTCTTTGGCCTCACAGTTGTTCTAATATGCGTCATGAAGATCATTTTAATGATCTTTAAAATGTTCACAGAAATACAGATTAATAGAATATTAGAAATACAAAAGACTTTCAGTTCATAATGGTTGACTGACCGTGTATTTATCTCCTCTCCCACCAACTAAATGATCAAAAAGGAATTTTTTTTTTAATGGAGCCAACAAGAGGGGACCTGACCATGCATGAAAGATTTCATAAGACTTCTGGGAAACAAAAACGTGGGGGAGTGGTGACCGAAAAAGTAGGATGAGGAAATCTAGGTCCCCAGGGAGTGTGGAAGGGGGTTATAGAAACAAGCGACAGGGGTAGACTGGCCTTAAAGAACCCTGGAGAATCAGGGTCCTGGCAGGGCGGGTGTGACAAAGGGTGGAAATGAAATGGAGCTGAAAGTGGGAAGGCTAACTGAACTCCACCTATTTCCTGTCCGATCCTCCAGTCCACACCCCACTTGCAAATAGACTATCAGGGAAGTGTCTTTCTACTGATCAGAAAACCATAATTATTTTTCTTAGAGAATATTTTCTTTAAAGAACAATGCTCAATCCCAGAGCAAAAACATACATACTATGCCTAACTTTACAATGTAAAAGTGTAGTTGATGGTTTGGAGGTGGGAGTAGGGAGAACTCAGGGAAGGATGCAGACCATCTTATCTTAAAAAGTGTGGACTCAGAAAAATAATCTGAAGTGATCAAACTAAGAAATAAAGGTATAGGATATTATTTAAAGCTACAAAGGTAATTAGTAGAAAAACTGAAAGTGGCGATACAAGGTAACTGAAAGTGGCGATCCAGAATAGAGCGACCGAGCTACATTCTCACATAGTCAGGAGATGGTTGTTTTTCATGAAAACAGTCTTTTATCCTCCTCTTTTTTTTTCTTTATTACTTTTAAAAGGGGGAAAGAAGGAGGGAGGGAGGGAGGGAGGGAGGGAGGAAAAAATCTGTAATCCATCAATAAGATTTAATCTGTAAATAATTATTTTTCCACTATAGGCTCCATCCTCCACATTCTGTTTTGTGGTGGACCTTCCCTGTCTCCCAACATTCTCTCCTTTTGTTTTTGCTCTGTTTTGAAGTCTTTTGCTCTATAATTATTTGAATGATTCCAGGAATTTAAAACATAGGCATACACAGGCACACACTTAAAAGGTAAAAGCTTTACCAGATCCTGTTTTGGAAACTCAGTTTTGTTCCTTGGCCTTTCCAGAAATCTCTGGCATCGTTGGTTGAGTCGTTGACCCTCCTTTTGAAAATGAATGGTACAAATGTGTTTCCAAGGCTCTTAACAGCTTTTTTTTTTTGAATGCATAACACATCTTTTATTTGCTCAACATTAAAGATATTTGTAAAAATATAGAATAGTATCATTCTTCTCTTTATTTTTATTTTGTAAAGTTATTTTTTTGGTATCATTAATGTACAATTACATGAGGAACATTATGTTTACTAGACTCCCCCCATCACCAAGTCCCCCCCACATACCCCATTGCAGTCACTGTCCATCAGTGTAATAAGATGCTGTAGAATCACTACTTCTCTTCTCTGTGTTGCACAGCCTTCCCCATGCCCGCCCCCCACATTATACATGCTAATCGTAATGCACCCTTTCTTTTCCCCCACCTTATCCCCCACTTCCCACCCATCCTCCCCAGTCCCTTTCCCTTTGGTAACTGTTAGTCCCTTCTTGGGTTCTGTGAGTCTGCTGCTTCTAACAGCTTTTTTTATTTTCTATTTCCACTCTGGTTTGTAGTTTGAAAAACTACCAGAAGGTCCTATCCCTCCATCTACACCAAAGTTTGCATATGGAAAAGTTGCTATGAAAAAGGTAAGAAAAAAGAAAAAAAACACCATAAATATTGAGAGTGAAGAAGTGGAATTAATTTGGCAATTGTTAGTGAAAGTGCTCTGATGGGGAATTGCTTCTGTTTTTCTGTGAATTTGTTTTCTGTAAGGCTGATGGGGTGGGTGATGTTTCTGGGAAAATGGGGCTATGTTGGGGTGAGAGGATATGTAGGCATGTTGATGGGGGCATGTGGGCCATGAGCAGGAGTAGGTAGGCGTTCTTAGATCATTCAGGTCATTTTGGTTCAGTTACCGGTTGTCAGAGACAGTGCCAGGAGCTTTTGCGGGAATAACATGCCCCCTTGTTGTTACAGCTAGTGAGGTTCTTTTCCAGAATTCATTTTTTTTAAAAGGGATTCTCAAAAACCACAGGCATTCTGATAGGTCTTCACCCTAATCATACCCTCCCCTCCATCTCAAAATCATTTCCTGGTTTATGTGTTCTGTGGTATAAATGGTAAATGGGAAGTCAGGGGGAAAGTTAGAAATTAATCAAAATAGGAGGTAAGGTCGTTTTATTCTAGGAAAAGAGAAAAAGAAGAGAAATTTCATTTCATAGTCATGAGTGATGTAAGCCAAAATCAATTTGTTTGACCATCTGGGTCTTCAGGATTTCCCCTCTTATAATCCCTAACTCCTACATGTGTTAACTCACCAGAAAAAAAAAAAGCACACACACAGTTACATATTTCTTAAGAATCTTGATCTTCTAAAATAGGATCATAAATTTTTATCTTGAAGCAAAATGCCAAACACGACTGTGTAATTTTTCCGTTCGTGAAGCCCTTTGATGTTAGGGTTGGCTGAGCCCTTGTAGTATTTTCCACCTAGTGTCAGATGTGTGTGTTACATTCTTCAAAGAGTGGGCTCTCTGATAGGAATCTTCCTTTAGATTTATCAGACTTCAATCACTCTTGTAAAGGGAGCACCTTTCCTTGTTCGCCGCTTCTTCTACTTAAGAAAAAGGTTTGTGTGTTTTAGAGCTGTGAGAAATTTATTTTTATGCAGCAGAAAATAAGTGCAAATGTTTAATACAGCCACATTGCTTAAACAAAGGTAACTTAGTACCAAAAACACATTCTGTTCACCATGAAGAAAACTTGTGTGAACAGAAATGGCTTTCCATTGTTAACTAAATACATACAATTTAAGAGTATAACTCAACTAAATCTATGTACAACATTGTTACATAGGATAAAACCTTTTATTGTGAATTGAAGCCCTTTAGTTGTCCAAATGGAAAAACATCCATGTGAGTAGCTGAGTTGATGGAATCATACTTAGTTTTTTTCCTGGTGCTGCACATCAGCACAGTAACCATGGAAAGGGTTTATGAAACTCCTAACCAGTTTCAAGGCATGGAAAGTCCTGGGTTTAGAGCCAAACCCAAGTGCTAAACCTGGCTCTGCTAGGGCTCAAGTGGGGTTCTCTGGTTGGGTGCCCGGTTCTTCATCCTTTTCATGGGGATAGTAATGCCTGCCTAACTGGGTGGTTGTGAAGTGCTGTCCCCCGGGAGTTGGGTGGGCACTCAGTGATTAGTAGCTAATATCATTGTTACTGCATCAGAATTAACATCCTGAGTTGCAAGAATACATGGTTGTTTCGATTGACTACGAGTATTTATTGAATGTCTACTTTGTGTTGAGCCTTGGGGGTGAACACAATACAGACCCTGCCCTCAAGGAGTTGACTGTCTGGCAAGGACGCCAAGGTGAGCAATGGGTAAATGATACAGGCATGGAAAATGTGACGCCACTGTGGTTACTTCACTCGGGGGTGTCAGGGGAAGCTTTACAGAGGCAACAGCCTCTGAGCCTTGGTTTTCATTCATTTTAAAGGCCTTTTATGTACAGGAGGTTGTATTTGCCAATAGGTATGTCTAAAACTCTGTTTAAGAGTACTGTCAGTCATTTTCATCAAGAGCTAGGGAATGGGTGCAGATGATCGAAGGTGACTAGGAGCAGCCTGAGTGGAAGGTGAACCTTTAGGTTTATTTATTTGGGGGTTTGGCCAAATCCACTGATATCCTTGATGGTTTGCAAGTGACATTATTCTCTACTCCAGTTCCCAGGGAAGAGGGGCAGTGAGTGAGTGCTGCTTTTGTTTCTTTTCAGTTAAAGACAGTGGAGGAAGCTCTGAATATTCTGTGTCCTGCTGGGCCCATCAAAAGTCTCTATCCTTTGACATTTATCAAGGTGAAACAGGTAGGCCTTCTAAGGTAATGCTTCAGCCTCTTTCTGCAAAATGTGCTTTCTATGTGGCCCTGCAGAGCCTATTCTGAGCACAAGGACCAACACACCAAGCAGATAAATCCGACCCCAAGTAAATTAACTGTGGGTTCCCGGGCTTGCATTAGCTCTCAGTACTGTACAGTAAGCTGATCTGTCCTGTATGTTCCCCCGTGTCACATTACCACTGCAGGTGGTAGCTCAACAAGAGAGTTTAATTATTTGTCCTTAGTTAGCTCAAAGGCATAGGGACCGTGTTCTTTATAGATTACTCTTAGACTATTTTTCATTTTTTTGAAGAGAACAGAGCACTTTGTGTGTGTGTGTGTGTGTGTGTGTGTGTGTGTGTTTAATCTCTGTGTATGGGTGTGTTTAATCTCTAGGCACTGCCCCATCTTTATTTTAAAAGTTTTCCCCAACTCTTTATTTTGGAAAGTCTCAAATCTGAAAGAGTTGCAAGAATAGCACTACAAACCCCTGTGTACCTCTCACCTGGAGTCACCAAGTTCTAACACCATGTCACTTGCTTTATCTTGCTGTGTGTGCATGTAGCCAACTGCTTTTTTTTTTTTAACCATTTGAGCTAGTTGTCAACATCATGACACTTCAGTCCTAAATATTACAACATAGATCTCTTAAGAAGGACATTACCCTGTGTAACCACAACATAACAGCCACACTTAAGATACTGAAGAAATTTAACACTGATACCATCCGGTTAGCTAATACACATTCTGTAGGCAGGTATGCCTGTGGCCATTCCCATGAGGGGAATTTATTGTTTACTTGTTTTAATCCAGTTTCTAACCCATGCTCACACCTATTTAGTTATAATGTCCCTGCAGCCTTCCTTCATCTGAGCCTACTCCTAACCCCTTTTCCCTCTCTCTCGTGGCACGGACCCCTCTGAAGAGCTCAGCTCCGGTTCTGTAGGCTGCACTGATTAGACGCAGCAGAACGTTTGCGGCCCGAGCACAACAGAGGTGATGCGTCCTTCTCAGGACACTATGTCAGGATGCCCGTGAGCTCTGTTTGTCCCTTTGTTGCCGTGTGAAGTTTGATCACTTCGTTAGGGTGTCAGCCCCACTTTTTGAAAAATACAATCATCTGGGTCCTCTTTTCTCACTCTCTGGGCAGATCGCCTTCTGAAAGGCACCTGAACAACATAGTGACATTAATAATAGTGTATCTCAGGTTAGTGTTATTTTGGCTCCAGTTGTTATTTTTACACTTGTGAGTTTATTCCAATGACTCTCATCTGTGATAAATAAAATGCATAATAAGCTCCCTGGCCTGCTTTTTTCATTAACCTTGGGTAGTTATTTCTGTAGTTCTAGCGCACACTGGCTGTCCACATCTTCATCCATGAAATAAAACATGAGGGGCCCGTGAGCACGTGAGCACGTCAGACAAGACACAGACCCCAGAGCAGCTGGAACCTGGGAAGTGAATTCCAGGACGATGTATAGACACTGCAGTCATTGTTCTGTCTTGACCCCTCTGCTTCCTGATCTCTGGCCCAGGCAGGGTCCTTGGGCTAGGTGGGGCTCCCCGGCTCTGGCTGCTCTGGGTCTGGGGTGAGCGCATAGAGGTTCATTTCCAGCGAAGCCAGGGAGGGCCCCGCCACAGGGATGGGCGCAGCGCCGGGGCCCAGTCGCACCTCTGCTCGGAACACCACGGCTTCCGCTTCCACCTGGGTGCCCTTCGCAAAGGTCCTCAGCCTCTGAGTTAGGACTTACCGCCTGGGTGACTTTCCAAGGGGAAAAACACAAGAGAGTAGGAGATGTGGGGTCTGGGAGGGAGGCCCCCCTTGGGCTGGAAGCTTTGGGTGGCACCCACGGCATCCCTGGGGGTCAGCCCTTCCCACCACACAGGAACAAGTTTGCCGTTCTTATCACCTTCCCACCTGCCTCAGGTGCACTTCCTTGCTCCCCAGGCCCTGGAAGTGGGGACCTTTTCCCCTTTCATGCTGGATTTCTATTGAGACTCTCTTCTGTGACTCGGGCTTCGGCCCAGCGTCCCGTGGTGAGGTCCTCAGCAGGAGAGCCATTGACCAGGGCTGTGAGTGCTCTGCTTCCGACGCTGGCTGTTCAGGGCCTTCCTTTCAGACCAGGGAGCCCAGCATCTAACAGTATTTTCTGACTTGTCAACCGGTTACACCCCAACCTCTCACTATCTCCACCCACCCCCTGCTGCACTCTACACAGTTTCTGATTGACTCTTGTTTTCTATGTTAGAGAAGATTTAGGCCAGGGACCTGGAGATTTTTGTACCAAACATTCTTGGCTTTGTTGTTGTTTGTCCTTTTTTGTTGGGAAGGAGCTCTATTTTTTGAGGTTGAATAAATAACCTTTTGATGGATGTGATAGGATCCCCTGAGTGATTCTGGCAAACTGCTTTCTGTGTGCCAGGCCCGCTTCCCTCGTGAGGGAGGCGAGGTTGCTCAAGCACCCTTGAGCGCTCCTTGTATTTCGCTGCTGCCATAGTTATTCCATGATCTAAATGTTTCTGCTAGTTCCCTCCTTTCAGATGGGGTTTTTGCCAGAGGCTAGAGAAGGGTTTCATTCCTCATGGCTTAGAAACAACACTTTCATACAGATCCAGGGAGACCAAGTTCTCTTAAAATGAACAGCAAGAGTGATGTATTTTTCTTACATCCTTTTCTAACCAGTATTTTGGGTTTGTGCTCTACCGAACAACACTTCCTCAAGACTGCAGTAACCCCACGCCCCTCTCTTCACCCCTCAATGGAGTCCACGACCGGGCCTATGTCTCCGTGGATGGGGTAAGAATTGTCTCCAAACCCCAGGGGTGGGAGGGCTGCCCTTGGTAATGTGGCATTCGAGGCCTTCGCCCCCTTTTCCAACCTCCAGCCCCGCCCCTCCTCCTGGTGTCCCTGAGCTGTGCCCCTTACTTGCTAATGAGGCCTCACCCATGCTCCCTCCTCCTGGAAAACTGTGGAGGTCTGTGCTCAAGGCCCCACCTTCTCGGAAGCCTTCCTGGCCTCCCCAGTCCACGGCCATCCTCTGACCATAGCATGTCGTGGCTGTGACATAGACGTGACCCATGTCTTCTTGGCTCCTGGAGGGCAGGTCCGTTTGGCACATGCCAGAATGGTGGTTCATTGAACTCTGTGTCTTCGTTGCTGCATGAGAAATTTTATTCTGAAGGGCTTGTTCATGATGATTAGAGCTAAAATATACACAGAACTTTGTTGAAGAAACAGTTTAGGTTTCCATTCCTCTCACTGAAATAATCATCTGAAAGAGCACATGAAGAGATTTTCCTGATAAAGACATTTTTAAGTCCAAATATTTCCACTCCATTGTCATCGGTGGCTTTAATTTCAGTGGGAGCAAATTTCTAAGAATTACATGGGTATCACTGGCAATTGTTTCTTGGATTCCAGTGTAGTGGCTGTCTCAGTAAATTATGGTCAGTGTAACATCAATTTTTTTTCATCTCACCTTTTAAAAAATTAGGAATATGTTGCTGTAAAAATATCTGTTGTTTTCCCTCATTCTGTTGTGTAATTTTTGTGGTTAATGCACCGTATCAGGTATTTTGAAGTGACACTACTCCACCTAACACTCTTGATTTTATCTCTTTTATCTGATTGTGTCTCATCTCTCCACGTTGTTAAGAAGCTACTTATAACTGCCTTTTGTGATGCTAGAATACAAAGCAGTTCCGGTTATAGGAATTCTCCCCTAGAAGTTTTTGCCTCCATCCCTTTTCTGTTAAAAATAGATGTGCAGCAAAACTTTCCAGAGCAGAGGAAACCAACCTAGACCTTTCTGTGTCTGGCAACTTTCCTGTTTAGAAACTGGTGATTGGAGGAAGTTGGCCTCCTGGACGGTGACTTGGGCAAGACGGGCCATCAGAGCATTCCCTCCCAAGTCTGGTGACACTTCCAGGCAGGAAAATGAGAGCTGAATTAGCTGAGCCATCTGCATCTCTGCTGAACTTCTCATGCTAGTTAATTCTCACTGGGCTTTGAACCCACAGGTCCCCCAGGGAATCCTTGCACGAGACACTGTTATCACTCTGAACATAATGGGGAAAGCTGGAGCCACTCTGGACCTTCTGGTGGAGAACATGGGGCGTGTGAACTATGGCCACTATATCAATGATTTTAAGGTAGGACCAACCTTGTGTCAGGAGTGTAGTTCAAAGGTAGGCTGGACCCTACCTAAGCCATCCAAGGAAGTTTTTGCAAATCCACTGAAAAACTCACATATACATTCTTTCCCTCCAGCCCTGTTAACATAGAAGCAATTTTTAAAAGCATGCACACTTGGCCACGTTTGATGAGTGAAACTACCCTGATTTGTTTTGCAGCCTTGAAGTTGGGTTATTTTGAAGACCTATTTTCCTCTAGGGTGATGAGAAAGTTGGGCTTTGCAAACAGAACCCTTCCCTTGGGTTTGAATTCAGCCATCCTCTAGAGAGCAGGAGAAGGAGGAAGCACTCAGCTGGGCTTTTCCTTGGCCTGAAAAGCCCACCTGGCCCACGAAAGGCTCTCCCTTGCCAGCAAAGCCAGTTTAGCACTCAGTCTGCTGTGCTGTCGGGTGTGGACAATCCCAACAAACCCTTGAGCTACAGAGAGCCCTTTCCCCTGGTGTACTGCCTCGCAGTCTGTTGGCTACTTATAGCTCAGGTTTCTAGTCCAAATATGTTTCCCGAATACTTGTTTTTAGAGTATTATTCAACAAACATTTGTTACGCTCCTACTCGTGCAAAACGCAGGGTGCTTTGGGGGATACAAAGGTGTTAAGTACAGGCTCCCCCAAGGGTAGCTGACCGTCTGCTAGAGGGGAGAGAGCCTGCACCAAGGGAGGTAGAGCACCACCCACTCTGGAACAGCACAAGCATCGCGCTGTCTCTTGACCCCTGGGTGGCAGCTCAGCGGGCAGGTAATTATTCATTGGGATGGCCGTGCAGGGCCACCTTTGCCTCCAGTAGAAATGCCCTGTTGCAGTCCTTGTACTCAGTCTATAATTAGTGACTTCCTGCATGGCTGTCACAAATCATGCTGACCCACAGAGGGACGGAGCCTTGTGTGTAGTCTCTGGATACCCAGCAACAAGCCTGGCACACAGCTGCCTGGCTAATGTGTTTACTGAATTACTAAATGGGCAATTGAAGCTGGGTGGGAATTGAGAGGTGTCCTGGGACAAATGTGGGATCCCCCTGAGAGTGGAGAAGTTCTGCACATTAGAGGCTGGAAGAGGAAGCTGGAGGAGCCACAGAGAGAGGCTCTGAGGCAAAGCCATGGGTACCCCAGCCCCCACCCCCCCTGGACAAATAAGAGCCCCTTTGAATATGAGTCTGGGTTCACCGTCGTCCCCGGTCGCCTTTCCATCCTTCTACAGATATCAGAGTGTTTTCATTTATGCCATCTCATTTAGACCCACGGCCGGTGAGGGGACTCGGGTGTCATCCTCTCCGTGAGGGCTGCTGAGGAGCTCAAGATCAGGACTTGTTCCTGGTTGTATGTAAGGGGCCGGGCCTGTCCCCTCCCCTCCCCACCTGCGGTGGACTGTATGTTGCTTTATATCCCCCACTCATTCCTTCTCCCATTCCTCAGATTCTATCATTTTGTCCAGCCTAGCAATATCTCTGAACCAGTGAAGATTGGGGATCTGGGCCAAAAGCTCAGTCCTCAAGACAGGCCTGTGCCACTTCAGCGGACACACAGTTTGAGTCTCATGTAACATGTGTTTCATACCCAGCCTTTCCCCAAGAAGTCAGAACTGGAGCGCAGAGACACTGGAAGCCTTCTCCTCCCCGCCACACCTGCGCCCAGCTCACTGCTCTGTTTCTCCTTCACAGGGTCTTGTTTCTAACCTGACCCTTGGGGGTAATATCCTCATGAACTGGACAGTCTTCCCGTTGGACGCTGACGATGCAGTGCGCAGCTGCCTTGGGAGCTTGGATGCCCGTGTTTCTGGCCACCACAACCAAGCTCCTGCCCGAAGATCATCTAACTACATGCTCCCAGCCTTTTATGTGGGGAACTTCTCTATTCCCAGTGGGATCCCAGACTTGCCCCAGGACACCTTTATCCAGTTCCCTGGATGGACGAAGGTAAGTGTCTTTGTGGACAGTGCTTGAATTCAGGCCTCAGACATCTACTTTTTGGTGTCTGATAAAGAATCAAAAAGCTGCGAAGAAGATGCTGTGTGACATCTCATGGCATTGGAGGTGAAGGCTTTTCTGTGCTGGTTTACCCATTCTGCAGCAATGGAACCATGGCAGGTCTCAGGGGATTCAGTGGCCAGCCTGAAGTTGGACCTTCTGCCCCATTTTCACAGATGGACAACTTCCTTTAGCAAGTGACGGCTTTCCTGTTTCCTTTAAGAAAAATCATAGCCCCGTTGAGGCACTTCCTCCTGATCCTGAGGAAAATCTGCTCCAGGCAAAGGGGTGAATCTCTAGGAGCACATGCTTCTCTTTGTCCATGCCTCACTCTATACTCCTGGTACCCCACCTTCATACAGCCCTGTGCCCCCAGGGCAGCCCTGTAGGGTCAGCTCTTCCTTGGCTGTCTTCTGGCTTGGTCACCCCCTTTATTCTTTGAAGATATTTTATTGTCTTCCTTCACTGCCATCCCCTCCACTTTGAGTCCTGTTTTTATCCTAAATGACCTCAACATGATTCAGTTATTCATTCAGCATATTTCTCAGTGGCTATTATGTCCCAAGCTTTGTGCCAGGCACAACGGATATGATAATAAATAAAATCAGGTATGGGCCTTGCCCTCATGGAACTTACAGCCTAGTTGAGGAGGGAGGTCCAAATCATATAATCACCCAAATTAAATGGTAAAACTGTAGCTGCAACCAATGCTGGAAGTGATATGGGGGTTGATAATAACTGGAACATTTGACTTTGTTGCGGAGGTTAGGGAAGGCTTCCCTGTAAAGTGATGCTTGACAGAGATATGATGGATACAGAGAAATTAACATGGCAAAAAGGGAGGGAAACATGTTCCAAGCAGAGGGGATAGCATGTGCAAAAGCCCTGTGGTTAGAGGGGAGCAATGGCAAGTATGAGGAACTGATAAAGAATCTGGATGTCTGGGTGCAGGTGAGGAGTATGGTTCAAAGAAGAGGCTTGAATGTAGGTAGATACCATATGGGGAGAACAGTGTAGCACAGAGAAGGCATATAGTGAATCTGGCATCTTGTTGCACTGATGGACAGTAACTGCATTGGGGTACGGGTGGGGACTTGATGATATGGGTAAATGTAGTAACCACATTGTTTTTTCATGTGAAACCTTCATAAGAGTGTATATCAATCATACCTTAATACAAATTAAAAAAAAAAAAAAAGAAAGTGGGTAGAGACCAGATTGGGATAGGCCAACTCATTAAAGTTTTGTTTTTATGTTGAAAGCCATTAAAGCAGGAGACTGTCAGGACAGAACTGGGATACGATAAGCCTGAATGACCCCAGTGTGCAGAATGGGTTGGGTGAGGGAACACGTGGATTCTGGGAAACTGTCTTGAAGGCTGGACCGTAGTTTCATTGAGAGACTGCAGTGATGGTGGCCAAGATGGAGATGATACCTCTATTTGAGAAGTGTTTGAAGTTAAATCCATAAGATGTAATGATGGATTGCTTGTGGGTGTTTAAAGAGAGGGACATACCAGATGACTCTTAGGTTCCAGGTTTGCAGCTGAGCAAATGGTACCATTTACTGGAAGAAGAAATTTCCAAAGAGGACTTGGGCTGGGAGAGCAAGACCATGAGTTCAGATGTGGACAGACTGAATTTGAGAGGCTGAGAGATGATATTGGAGGAGGGCTGTTAGATCTATGGGTGGGGAATTCAGAGGGATGTGGGCTGGGAATAGACATATGGACAGTGTTGAAGACACAGGATGGATAAATACTCTAAGGATGCAGAAGGAGAAAAAAGAGGATGTCAGGCTGATCTCTGAGAGACACAAACATAATGGAGAGGGAGGAGAGACCAAGGAGGTAGGAGGGAGACTGGTACTTACACAGCCGAGAGGAAAAGTGGAATGCAGACCAAAGCACATCTACTGTATTTAGCACCAGGGTCACTGGGGCCCTTGGGAATCACTGTGCCAGCAGAATGGAGCATCTACAAGACAGACTGCATGCAGTTGAGGGGTGTGGAGTAAGGAAATGAACACGTGAACATCGATAGGGATTCTACTTGAATATAAACATTCTTTTTGAGAATTTTGACTCTGAAGGAGAAGAGAAAAAATATGTTAATAGCTGGGAGAGAACAGGACAAAAGATATGTGAGGCATGTGTTTAATAAATGCTCTTGTGTATTTTTTGCTTTTTAAATGTTTATGGAAATACAGTTTCATTATCATCCTATTTAAAATATTTTCTGGCTTCCCTTACTATCTCTTCTTTAACCCATAGATTATTTAGAAATGTGTTATTTAATTTCCATATATTTGTGGGGTTCTTTTTTAGCATATCTTCTTTTTATTATCTCTAATTTAATTCCTCTATGAAATGTCTAGAAGGAGAAAAGACTTCTTAGATTTAGTACCTAAAGCATTTTCCTTAAAGGAAACAATAATTGAACATCAAAATTAAAAATGTTTGATCTTCAAAAGAATTAAGAAAATGAGTATCCAAGCCACAGACTGGAAGAAAATATTTCCAAATCATATATGTAACAGAGGACTTGTATCTAGAATACATAAAGAATTCTTATAGCTCAGTAATAGGAAGACAAACAATTCAGTCAAAACACGGCAAAGAACTTGAATAGATATTTCATCAAAAAAGATATTCAAATTGCTGATAAACACATGAAAATATGCTTAATATTTAACATCTTAATCATGAGGGAAGTGCAAATGAAATACTACTTCAAGCCCAGTAGAAAAGCTATAATAATAAAAGATGGATAATAACAAATGTTGACAAAGATGTAGAGAAATGGAACCCTCTTCTATTGCTTGTGGGAATGTAAGATGATACAAACACTTTGGAACAGAAACAGTTTGAAAGTTTCAAGAGCTAACCATAGAGTTATCATTGGACTCAGCAATTCTACTCCTAGGTACGTACCCAAGAGCAATGAAAACATGTCCACCCAAGGACTCACATGCAAATACTCATAACAGCATTACTTAACATAACCTCAAACTGGAAATAATTCAACTGTCCATCAACTGATATATGGATAAATACATTGTGGTATATCCATACAATGGAATAATATTCCACAGTAAAAAAGAACAGGCTACTGATACATGCTACAATGTGAAGGACTCTGAGAACCATTATGCTATGTAAAAGAAGACAAACATGAAAGACCACATATTATAGGATTTCATTTATATGAAATGTTCAGAAAAGGCAAATCTATAGAGACAAGAAATAGATTAATGGTTGCCTAGGGCTAATGGTAGGAAGGGAGAGTGACTGCAAATGGGTATGAGGTTTCTTTTTTGGGGTGGTAAGAAATGTTCCAAAATTAAATCATGTTGATAGCTCCACAGTCTTCTTATACTTATTAAGACTTGTTTTTTGGCCCAGAATGTGGTATATCTTGGTGAACATACCTCTGGAGTTTTCAGCTCTGTTATCCTCTCTCTGGCCATGTGCTTCTATTCCCCAAACTCTCGTACCACCCAAGCCTGCTCTTGGATCTTATGATTAACTGAAACTCTCCACCATCGAGGGCACAGTCCTACCCTATCCAGCCTAGACATCACCACTGTCCTTCTGCAAAGCCACCAAGCCTCTGGTCCTCTTGACTCTGTCTCTTTGTTCATTCTCTGTTTTGAGAAGGTCCACCACTGGCCTTTGCTGGTTCACCAGTAACTCAGCACTGCCTGCAGGGCTTCTCCAGAACATTCTTCAAGGCCACTATCCCCTCTGCTTGCTGCTCTGGCCACCAGCTTGCCCAGAACTAGTCCCCCTCCCCCAGCTGGCTTTCCTTAGCCTTTGCCACTCATCTCAGGCCACTTCACTCTTGCCCCACCACCTCCCATGGGGGAACTCGACCTCCGACTGTTATCAGGTGTTAAGTCCTTTGTTCCTCAGCTTCCTGCCAGACCTGTCTCTGTCTCCACCCTCACTTCCTGCCCAGTGGCCTCTGGGAGGAAGTCTCAGCTCCAAATCCCCTCCCCACCTTCCTCCTCAAGGCCAGGACCCTGCTCTCATGCTTCCTCATCCAGCGTTTTGTCAGCCTTTCCATCTTCTCTGCTAACCACCGTGTTGTAGCCCAGAAGTGATATCTAGGGGCTCTGTCACCTAAAGACGAAGTCCAGCCCTCCCTGGACCTTCCCACTTTAACTGGCAGGCTTGCTCTTATTCCCATGCTCCTTCTCTTTCTTCCCTCCTTCCTCCTCCTCTTCTCCCTCTTGGTGTCCTGCGGGGTCATATATTTCCTTTGTTCATGCTTTTTCATTCCTCACTCTGCCCACCTGATCATCACACATTCATCTATCCAGACTGGCATTGATCCTCTGCGAACCCTTCCTAGACCAGCAGTCCAGGAAAGGGCAGCCTCCTCCGTGCCCCACTGGAACTCAGCACCAAGATGCTTCATCACTTAGCTTAGCACCTCGGTTTCACCCCCTAGGTCATAAGCTCCACAAAGGGCCTTGTTTCAAAGTCCGCAGCTTATACGGCATCCTGCCCTCCTCCCTGGGCCTGGTTGCCCTGTAGGTGCTTTTAGGTGAGCAGGTGCCCAAATGCCTGTGCTGTCGAGCCCCTGGCAAGAAGGCAGATGGGAGCAGCGTGGGCCCTGAGGCAGCCCTGTGTGAGACGAGGAGATCTGCTGGGTGCTGTGGACACAGGGCCGAGGCAGATGAGAAGCCCGAACACAGATCATTGCTCACCAGGTGGTCCCAGCTTAGTGCATCAAGAGAACAAGCTTCCAGGAGATGCAGAGCAGAATGAGAACATGTCTGTCATGGAAATTATGAGAAGGGCCTGTTGGCTCAGATAGAGTTTGAAATAGACCTGAGGATGGGATGGCCCTTTCTCAGATTCAGAGGGAGTCTTGTCAGGGAGGGAATTTCAGGTGGCAGAACAGAAGATGCAAAGGCTCAGAAATGGAAAAGAAGGGGACATT